AAAAGAAATCTTGACAACCTCCATTACGGCATGGTCCCGCTCAGCAAATGCAGCAGCAACACAACCTTGGAAAAATTTAAGCTGCTTTTCTGCTTCTATGTTCTGAAGTAAAATAGAAAAAGGACCAAGTTAAAATATCTTATGGACTATGATGCACTTCCTGATACTTAGTTGACTCCAAATCCACCAAAAATGAACATCTAAAACATCTGATTTGCAAGCTCTTAGCTTTCCAAGAACCAGAAATTATAGTGAGATGAGTCATCCCCCGAACAGAAGCTGTTTTAACAGTCAAAATGAGAGAAAGGATAACTTCAGAGCAATATGACACACAGAATTATATTAACAAGCACATGATGCACCTCCAGACCCAAATACTTATGCTTTATGTTTCCTTTCCTGGGGATAGGGAAGAGAGAAGAGCAAAGACAAGACCTTGGAAACTTCTGCACTGTGTAGATCAGCCAGTTGACTCTAGCAAAGAGAAGATGGAAAAAAGTGCATCTGTCAGAATGCTAGTAGAGCGCACCTGCGATGACATAAAGAAATAGTTGTAAATCTTACTTTGATGCGATAAGCTTCTGACAGCTCTTCTTCAAGATTCTGATTTTCTCGTGTGCAAGCAGCTAGTTTCTTTTTCAAGTTTTCAGTCTCCTGCTCCAACCCAGCTATCCTAATTGGTTAAGAAAAGACCATTTTAAAATCTCATAAAAAAAAATTCCACACTTCCACCCACCCGAAAAGAAAAGGAAAGAAAACATAAAAAGGAAAACAACCTAAATATACAAATGACTAGCTCCCACCCCCCACCACCCAAAAGAGAAAATAGTTATACCTATGAAGAGGACGAGTAGGCACCCCAATATAGCTAGGTCCAGCTTGTTGCATGCATAGCTGTTCAATATCTTTATGCAATTCATCACGCTCTAAACAATAAACTTTAATACATCAGATTACATACAATTTTCCCACTTATAATCACTTACAGCCTACAGCACTGCAAAGAAGCTAGAAAGGTTCTGAACACAAATACGACATACTTGGACAAGAACGCGCACGAATGAAGAAGCATGAACAGATAACACTGTTCTTTGTTCATTCTTAACAACAGAACCATTCTGGAGTCATCAAAACCAGCTCAACAATGAACAATACTATGCTGGTATCATCTAGTCAAACTGTCAAAGTAGCAAGAGCATAACGTCTGTTGAGAAATTGCCAACTTTTTTTTGATCAAGTAAGAAATTGAAACCTTCAAATTATTCTAAACATCTTTTTCATTATTAAGTATTCTATACATTTATACATTTTAGCAGGAGGGTAAGTCCCTTCTATTTTCTTAGGAGGGACTGAAGTGGGGTTCAGCTCTTCTTTTAGGCACTCAATTACTCAACAGAGTTCGTCACCTATTCAATATTGAGCAATTCAGGCTTAGCACCGTATGTGACAGCTGCAAGGCGTTATCTGAAGTGTCTGGCTCGTATAATAACATAGTACATCCACAATAGCTAGTTGCTTCATCCCTATGTAAACTTATAATATCTCATTCTTGAAAACAATTAAATACAAGATTTGACGGATCTCTCAACTTCCTCCCCCATCGTCACCTCCTCTTTCCCAAACTCTCAGTCCGCCTTTGTCATTATATATCCTAAAACTTATACTACTGCTGCATGACTATGTTCCACCAGTTTTATCATTTATTAGTACACTTACATTGCGATCCCAATAATATGCTGTAATCCAATGTTTATACCCCTCAAACTCTACCAGAAAAACTATGTGACGTCTTCCAGAAATTGAAGCAAATATGTCCTTACTAACGACAAAAAGTACTTGTGTCCACATATATGATTCACCTTTATAACCTATCATCTACAAGCAATGAGAAAACATTGAATAGTTCTAACAAGTGAAACAAGCAAGTACTTGGTGCACATCATTATAACAAGAACTCTTTTATTTCATTTGTATCTTTCGCTGCAAGGAGAAACTACTGTGCTGTAAAGATAGCAACTTGTACTCTTTTTCGCTTAGTGAGTTGGTGTTTAGTAATGAAATTTCATATTTTAATAAAAAATGAACACTTGAGACTATGTTAGTCCAATCTGGCCGTAACAAAGACACACACGCATACACACAGAAAAATAAAAGAATTACAGAAACTATAACTAACAAGTAACAAAGACGTCAAAAAGCAGAATATGTAAAATCATACCGCGCTCCAATTCTTTGATCTGAGCACGTAAAGTTGCATTATCGTTTAAATTACCATCCATGCCTGAAAACAAAGGTCAATTTTGACATCCACAACAACGTATTTTCATGAATTAGAGGAAAGATAAAATTATGCGGTTAAGAAAGTAACCTATCTTCAACGGCTCCAGTTCGAATGAACTAATTGAGAACCCTAGAAAAGCCAAGAACTGATGCTTCGCCTTGTTGGTTTCCCTCTTTCCTTGCGGTTATGCCGCAGACAGGACATATAACTTATGATGATTGCTTCATTACAATAATAATTCTATTTTTAATATATTTCGTGGCTTTTCTATAATTTATTTAAATCTAGGGGTATTTGTGTTTTCTTTCAGTCGTTTTTCTATAATTTATTGAAATCTAGGGTATTATTGGAACGATCAAATTACAATGATGCTTAGCATTATTTAGAAACTTTACTTTGGGGCAAGGAGGAAAGTATTAAAGTATGCTAATACAAAATTTAGTATAACTGGCGAAACATAATCGGAATTAGTATATCAAAACATTTACCTATAGATGTCTGTTTTTTTTTTTTTTGTATGTCCATGAATTTTGGATCCACTTGTTTATCCCCAGGTTATTCCATTACGAATTACGAAGGTTATCAAGAAAATGTTAATTCCATTATGAATTATTACATAGTTTTCATAGATAATTTAGAGCTTGCAAAGATTTCATCGCAGCTTTCTAGTCGAAGGATTATGCCTCCTTTATCCTAATTTTACGTGAAAAAAACAAAACTTACTTTTATTTGATTCCCTTCTAACCTGTAAATCTAATGGATCTACTATGTTAACATCCTCACCTCCTCATCAAAAGAATTACGTGATATATGTACTGATTGAAGATAACATATACCATATAAATAGTTGATATATGCACAAACTAACTGTTAAAATAAATATATAAAAAGAATCATCGTATATTACAACAACAACAACAAACCCAGTTTGATTCCAATCCATTACATGTATCCATGTTTACTCTATACTTCATCTCTTCAGAAAACATCTACTCTGGGCGAACCTCCAAAACAATAATTAGTTATTATTAGTGTGTAGGAATTTGAATTTGCACGCACACTACCATATACTACTTCTGATTGTGACACTGATTTCAGAATTCAGGCTTCTTTACTCAGTAGAACATGAATTTTTTTATTATATATTGTCAATTCTTGGTTTCATTAGTTCATGTTAAATATGTACATAATGTAGTTTTGTGTGCCGACCCGCCAAACTCCTTACTGATTTTGCCGACTAAGCGGCCACGACCGGCTAAGCGGCCACAAACCAAGTCCAACCTGGCAGCCAAAAGCCAGGGAATCTTAGCACATGGAGGGCGCGGCCCCACGGCCCACTGGGACAATCATGGCAGCCACCCTCTGCCAAGAAAGACAAGTGCTGCCCAGCTGGGTAAGACCACAAGCTGTCAGCACAATCATGGAAGACAACCTGGGCCAGCAGGAATTGTTGGACAGCAGCTGGACGGGACCACTGGCAGAAAGTCTGCCAGCACCATGATGGAAGGCACATGTGCCAGCACAAAGCAGTGCCATACAGCTGGACGGGACCACTGGCAACCACCCCATCAGGGGATGTTCTTGTATATAAATAGGCATGCTTAGGCCTGTTAGAAGGCATCTCATACATACTTGTATCTTCCCTTTTGTATATCAATTAAACCAGAAAATTGGCCTTGGCCTCCCAGTCTTTGTGTGTCTTTTCATTTCATTATCTTTCCAGCCTTGTGTAGTACACGTTTGCCATTCCTTAAGCACGATTTAGTGCTTGTTTTGGGGTAGGACTGAAACTAGAAGCCGATAACAGCTGTCTAGTTGTCCGCACATAGCTTACTAGAGTTAAGCTTGTGACATTTGTCACACATTGGAATATGAGTAGTATGTCCTTGTATAGTATAGCTATAAATAAGGACCTCTTGTATTGTATTGAACACAAAATATCAATATATCATATTTTCTCACGTGCCTTCTCACATGGTATCAGAGCTATCGTGAGAGATTTATTGCTGTGTATAAATTCCAGCAATTCCGGGAAGTGAAATCAGTCACCGAAACCCTTTTTTCCGGCGACTTTTCAAAGTTGTTTTGCGTTTGCTTTGTCTCGATTAGTGTTGTGCAAAATTTAACACTACCACAAGAGTAGTCACTGTCCGGCGACCAAACCCCAGTGGAAGAAAATTTTTCGGCGAAGTTATGACATCGCGTGGGCCACCTTGCGGCCATTTTTTGGCGACGATTCTTTAGGACAGATTGTTCCCCTTGCAATTCTGAGCCTACCCATCCAGGTTACACCTAATTCCGACAACTTTTATATTTTCCGGCGTGAACAGTGATTTCAGAAGTGGACTTCCGGCCATTTTTTTTTGAAAAAGTTTCTTCAGAACAGTTGGGTTGTCTGGTAATTCCGATCCTACCCCTACTGTTTTTATTTCATTCCGACCACTCTGAATTTTTTCCGGCTGCTACAGTAATATTCTAAGAGCTACAATATTTCTGTCATGAACAGTGTTTTCCGCCGCAGAACAATGTTCTGTTTTCCTGCTGTAAACAGTGTTTTCTCAGCGATTTCTTCAGTTTTCCCAAAGGAGTTACTAACTTTCACTATTTCAAGTTAACTTTACTACTATTAATTGTAGCGACATGGGAACCGATACTTCGAATAGTCGGATGGTTTCTTTAGTAGATTATTTTGAGTTTCTTCAGTACAAAGCAGGTAAGCAGACATCTTCTGAGATAGCTTTCGTTGTTCAAACAGGTAATAACATGACTTGTGTCTATCAATCTTCATCCTTTGAGTCTTGGGTCATTGATTCAGGTGCATCAGATCATATTTCTGGTAACAAATCTCTTTCACTACTATTTCGTATTCTCAATCTATTCCAAAAGTCACAATGGCCAATGAGTCTCAAACCATGACAACTGTAATTGGTCAAGCAAGCTCAATTCCTTCTTTACCTTTAGATTCAGTTCTTTATGTCCCTAATAGTCCTTTTAATCTCATAATTGTTAGTCGCCTAGCCAAATCACTTAAATGTGCCATTTTATTTCTTGATGATCATGTTTTTATACAGGAACACAGTACAGGGCGGATCATTGGTACCGAGCGTGAATCAAATGGACTTTATTACCTTATCCTTGCTAAATCATATGGACTCACATCTTGTCTTCCTTCAACAACTTGTCCTGTTACTGATTCACCAGATTTATTACATAAACTGTTGGGACATCCTAGTTTGTCAAAATTTCAGAAAATGGTACCTGGTTTATCTCACTTGTCAGCTCGGTAAGCATACTCGCTCTCATTTTCCTCGACGTATTGATAATCGAGCAGAGTCACCTTTACTTTAGTCCATTCAGATGTTTGGGGTCCTAGTCGGGTCAGTTCTACCTTAGGATTCTGCTACTTTGTTAGTTTCATTGATGACTATTCTAGGTGCACCTGGATATTTTTGATAAAACATCGATCTGAGTTGTTTTCTATTTTCCAAACCTTTCACGCTGAAATTCAAAATCAAATTGGGGTTTCTATTCGCACATTTCGTAGTGATAATTCCCGAGAGTATTTGTCTTTCCCATTTTAGTAGTTTATGAAATCTCACGGGATTATTCATCAAACATCTTGTCCGTACACATCTCAACAAAATGGGGTAACTGAAAGAAAGAATAGACATCTTATTGAAATTGCTCGTACCCTACTCATACAATCTCATGCTCCGTTGCATTTTTGGGGGGATGCAATTCTTACATCTTGCTATCTTATTAATCGTATGCCATCTTCAGCTATCCAAAACCAAGTTCCATTCTCTGTTATGTTTCCCCGCTTACCTTTGTTCTCTCTTCCAACCCGTATCTTTGGAAGCACTTGTTTTGTCCATAATCTTACTCTAGGAACAGATAAGTTAGCTCTCCGTGCTCTTAAGTGCGTATTTCTTGGTTTCTCGAGAAAGCAAAAGGGGTATCGATGCTATTCTCCTGACCTCCAGCGGTACTTTATGTCCGCTGATGTTACCTTCTTTGAAACTCAATCATACTTCACAGGTCCAGGTAATCACTTAGATATTTCTGAGGTACTACCAATTTCTTCTTTTGGAGATTCAGTCACTATCTCCCATCCATCTTCCTCTACATCTCCAGCTCCACCACCTATATTGTTATTATTGGCAACGATCAGGATGATATTACTAATCTGAAGTAATATCTCTTTCAGCACTTCCAAACTAAGGATCTGGGCAGACTGAAGCATTTTCTAGGTATTGAGGTCGCTCAGTCTAGCTCAGGTATTGTTATTTCACAACGGAAGTATGCCTTAGACATTCTTGAGGAGACTGGAATGATGGGTTGCAGACCTATTGACTCTCCTATGGATCTGAATGCTAAGCTTCTGCCTGGACAAGGGGAGCCTCTTAGAGACCCTACGAGATATAGGAGGCTGGCTAGAAAATTGAATTACCTCACAGTGACTAGACCTGACATTTCTTTTCCGGTGAGTGTTGTAAGTCAGTTTATGGATTCTCCCTGTGATAATCACTGAGATGCAGTTGTTCGTATTCTTCGGTATATAAAGTCAGCTTCAGGCAAAAGATTACTATTCAAGGATCGAGGCCACGAGCAGATTGTTGGATACACAGATGCTGATTGGGCAGGATCACCTTTTGATAGACGATCTACATCTGGATATTGTGTTCTAGTAGGAGGTAATTTGGTCTCGTGGAAGAGCAAGAAACAAAATGTAGTTGCTCGATCTAGCGCCGAAGCGGAATATCGGGCCATGGCTATGGCAACGTCTGAGTTAGTTTGGGTCAAGCAGTTGCTCAAGAAGTTAAAGTTCGAAGAAATCAGCAGGATGGAACTAGTGTGTGATAACCAAGCTGCTCTTCATATTGCGTCAAATCC